TTTTTTTTTTTTTTTGTTTACCGTTTTTAATTTGATCATGAAAATTTTTTTGTTTACCGTTTTTAATCTGATATAAATATTATCTTTCTGGTTGATTTCTATTATAACTCCATGTCCTCAAATCCATGAACATTTTGTTGCTGGTAATTGGTGATATAGTTTATGAACAAGCTTCAAGTATAATTTGTAGTTTATGGATTATTATTATTATTATACACTATCTATGATTTGCAGTTAGACTCACATGCTGTGTGCTCTATAATGTTGTTCCATTTAAATATAACATGGGCAAGTGCTTAAATCTTTTTTAACATATTATCTCTAGGCAACAATCTTAATCACAGATGCAGCAGCTGCATATACCTTATGCCAAAGATTTATATTGATCGACTGTTTTTGTAATAGTTTTTTTGTCTTTCAAAATTTTGCAGAGAAATAGCTGGAAAAACTTGTTTTCTTATATGGGTCCCGGCTTCCTTGTTTCGATTGCCTATATCGATCCTGGAAACTGTACGCTCTTATTGATTGATTTTACAAAAGCGATTAATATGCATTGTGTATGGTTTAATAACTTTCTTTATCTCCTGCATCAATAGTTCAAACTGACCTTCAGTCGGGAGCCCAGTACAAGTATGGGGTGAGTGTGGTTTCTTAAATTTGAAGTGAGCTAACAGTTAATCAATCTCAGTACAAGTAACTGATATGTTGTTCATTTAATTTTCTCATAATCACACAGCTACTATGGATTATATTGTTAGCTTCAGTTGCTGCTCTTGTCATTCAATCCCTTGCGGCAAACCTGGGAGTTGTCACGGGTTTTTTTTGTCCCCCTTTCAACTATTTAGTTATATAGTTATATCATATCATATACTTCATGAATGACATTGTTCTTTAATTTTAAAATATATTGTAATTGTGGTACAGTTTGTGATAGGGTCACTTGTGTTTTCAGGGAAGCATTTGGCCGAGCACTGCCGGCTGGAATACCCGAAAATCCCTAATTTATTTTTGTGGATTCTTGCTGAAATTGCTATAGTCGCCTGTGACATTCCTGAAGGTTGGGGATCTTAATTTTTAATAAATATGTATTTATCTTTAATTACCTTATTAAAAAAAACGAAGAAGAAACTTTTATTAATAACAAATTTCAAATGCTTGTTTGCAGCAGTATATTATATATGCCATTCATCATATTTTATCATATACTCAAACGTGCAGTTATAGGAACAGCATTTGCACTGAACATGCTCTTTGGAATACCATTGTGGTGTGGTGTGCTTATCACGGGCCTCAGTACATTAGTCCTTCTACTACTACAGCAATACGGGGTAATTAGATATCCCACAATGGTTAAAAAGAATGGGAAAAAGATAAAATATCAAAGTTCACTCAGTTTGATTCCTGAACAACCAAAGAGTACATTAACAGTCTAATGCAACAGAAATGTGATAGTTTTGAGGGAATTTTTTTGAAGAAATATATATATTTATTTTTATTTTTTTCACATCAAGAGGAAATTAGACCTTTTCTCTAAGATACCCATGTGATTTCTTCTCCTGTTCTATTTTATGTCTGAAACACATATATGTAACCTTTTATAGGTGAGGAAGCTTGAGATATTTATTGCTTTCCTCGTGTTCACAATCGCCGGTTGCTTCTTTGTCGAGTTTGGGTACGCGAAGCCGAAAGCTTCAGAAGTCTTAAATGGCTTATTTGTTCCCCAACTCAGAGGAAGTGGAGCCACAGGCCTAGCTATTTCATTACTCGGTGCTATGGTCATGCCGTGAGTTTCTCTGCACAGCTGTTAAATTGGTTCCTTGTCTTGCTAAGTTCTTGAGATTTGTGATTGATATTGTTTATTCTTGTTTCGTTTTCAGGCATAATCTTTTTCTGCATTCAGCACTCGTGCTTTCGAGGAAAATCCCAAGATCTGTCGATTGTATAAAG